GCTACTATAAACTTAAGAGTTGATTTTGGGGGTCATGGTACAGTTCTCCAAAAACTAGACTTTACTACCACCCATGGACTTCTTGGTTACGATACTGTTTTCCTCCTGTGACTAACAGAATGCCTCTCCCCTGTATCTGACTCTGAGTCCACGTCCTTTAAAGCTTCAGTTTTCAGAGAACAAAAAGAATGCCGGCAACATGAGCCCAGCAAATGACTGTGCTGACCTCTGGGGCTCCCTTTGCTGTTTTCTTGTGATTAAAGACAGTGCCTATTCTGTTTAGAATTAGAGTAATAGCCCCACAGAACCCACTGGCAGGTTATGAAAACAGCTATGCTTATCACAAGATGAAAAGAAGTGTGCACAGAATAAGCCTCTGAGAAATTCTTTTAACCCTTTCTGCTCCCTATCCTACTGTTGGCCTTGAGTTCAGTGTTCATGAATCAACAACATATAGCAAATAAGATGTCTTTAAAAAGAACACACACAAAACAAGGTCATGTACTGATGGGTTGACATAAGCGTTGTGACCAGAGGCTCACAGGCACCTAGCCCTGTCATTTCCCCTGGGAGCAGGGGTTCGGTATTCTCTAAGAATTCAGAAACTACCCAGTTTCTGAGTCACCGACAGAGCCACTCAGCGAGCCAGGCAGTGGAACTCAGTCCAGGGCATCACAGGCTTGGAAGGGCTCTCTGAGATCACCTGGTTCCCCGGTCACATTTTACACAAGGACAATGAGGACGAGGGAAGAGAAGCAACTGTCTGTGGTCAAGAGGCTGGTGGGTGGCAAAGTCAGGGCCTCTGAGCAGGTCTCAGATGCAAAGTCCTACGCTCACTCCAGTCAACTGTTTTCAAGGTGACCAAGAATCCCGCAAATTGCCCTGGGAACTTTCCAACACCAACACCCTTGTTGCCAGGGGCAGAGGGCGGGGCAGGGATTGGCAGGTGACATTACAAGGCCATTACAGGTGCAGCCATTTCTCTGAGTCCTCCGACTGCAACAGCAACAGCTCAGACCACAGCAGAGAGAATGGCGTGCGCTTCTCCAGTGCTCCCACTCACAGTTCAAAGCACACCCTGCTCGGTGGGGTCACTAAGCGGGCTCTTCCACTGTCCCGTCCACCCGTACCCTTCGTGTGGACAGCTGAAGATCTGGCTTCAGCCCTCTTTCCACTTCTCCTTAGTGTATCTGTAGAACCATTTCTTTCCTCACAAATATGCAGGCAGCAGGGCTGCTCCATTAGGAGACGCATTTTAGACAAAGCGAATACGCACAGGACTCATTCTTGGCTCTTCGAAAAGATCCTTCAAGAAACCCTTTAGTCTCACCTCCAGCTGCAGGCTCCATGGCCCTGCCACTCCAGGCTCCTGGCCACCACACCGTCCCTGCCTGCTGCAGGCACTATAAGAGCTCAACGTAGTCTGACACCTCCCCATCGCCCCAGCCCAGGCTCACTAGTAGCTCCCGTGCCAGCTGCAATGCCAGCCCTGCTGGGAAACCTCCCAGCCCCAATCCACTTCTCCCCGTTTCCATAGCACTTGGTTTGAACCTCAATTATTATTTTTATTATGGCCTGTAGTTTAGATAGCTGAATATTCCTGTCTCCCTCATCGGAGAGCCTTGAGGTCAGGGACACTACCCATCCGGTCTTTGAATCCTGCCCAGGGTAGCACCCACCACGTGTGTGCTCTAAACACACCCCAGGGGCAACGTGGAGAGAAAAAGGCTCTGCGGGAAATCATGGAGCGGGCAGAACCGTGACAAGAAGACGCCTGGTTTCCAGGAAACACTAACATTTTCTCCTGTTGTTCTCAGCACTTCCTTTGAAGACCCAAGATGAAAAACGCTCCTGTGGCAGTGAGGAAGCCCAGGACCTGGGTCCAGGTGCGGGGTTGGGCCAGGGAGTAAGTCATGCAGAGCCCCTGGCAGCTTGGCCTGGGCTCTGGAGTGTGCTCAGGCCAGGAGTGGACTCTGGACACAGATGCTCCCAGCTCCGACTCCTCCCTTTGCGGTTCTGGGCGAGCTACTCATGAGTAGAGCATGCGCCTCATAGAGTTGTCAGGAGGGTAAAGAAAGCATTGTCTTTCCCCTCAGGTGGGCTCGACTGGACAACCGCTCTTCCAGACTCAACTAGAAGCCTGGCAGCGTGGCTCATGCTTTCAATACTCATCTTTTAACCAATTACTTCATCTCAATCGGCATAAATGTGGTCTTTCAGCAAAAACCGAAAAGGCTCACTTGGGCTTCAGGGTCCTTCTTTCTTGACATTGTTAGGGACAGGGCTTGTCTCTGTTCAGAGCTGTCCCTCACTTGTAAATGTCATGGGAGCAGCTTCTGAGGCTCAAAGAACAGCTTCTCTGGCCCTGAGACTCCATCTCATCTTCCTTCTCCCTGGGCCCACCTGGCTTGTCACAGGCCTGAACTGTGGCCACCACCTCTGCATTTGGGCACTGCCGACTCCTGGAGGCACTACTGTCACGGGGGACGCTTGGCCCTCTGCCCCCGTGCACCTGAGTCAGCACGCTTGCTTCCAGGCAGGTGGCAGAGCCAGCTGGCAAAAGTGAAAGTCTTTCAGGAAATACTAGAAGGAAGGGGTAACTTTGAGCGCTGGGAGGACTGTGACCCTGACCACTGTATCATAAATGCTGAGACAAGTTCCTCTTAAATTCCTGTTGAAGTCCAAGTATGGTGTCCTACTGGGCAGCGGGGGCAAGCCAAGAACATCAGTTAGATCAAAGTACTTCTGGAAGACGGTCCTGTCCAAAGTGCACCACGAAGCGTCAAGGTTACAAACCCAAGGACGCCCCTTTGCGACGACGCGAGTGCGCCAGGCGTGCCGGAGCTGCTGTGTCGCCTGTGGCCGCCCTCTGGTGCTTCTGGCTCATTTCCCGTGAGCAACCCCTAGCCCTTAGTGCTCACCTCCCCAGGGGGCTCCAGCCTCCTAGATTTGGCCCCGGTTCCTCGCCATGTCCCCTCTCTGCCCTTCTCTTCTCCAGCCCAAGCCTCTGGTGTGTGCATGTGCCGGGTCCCCTGCCCATATCACACAACCCTGCAGTTCGCAGCCGCCTGCCCACCTCACGCCCCGCACGGCCCTCGGCAGCGCCTGCCCTCCCAGCTAACCACCAGCCAGGCACCGTCTCTGTCCACGGCTCTACTCCCAGCACTGTGCTCACCGTTGTCACCGTCCATGCAAGGACTGGACCCCCCAAACAGTGCCCCGGACCACTACCAGCCTGGGCAGAAGGCCGGGGGCCTCGGCTCTGACAGCAAACGAGCAGCCTGCACACGAGCCCTGGTCAAAGGCCAGGTGCACTGACAGGCCGGCGGCTGCAAGGGGGCAAGGGCCCCTTCGTTGCTGAGGGTACAGCTGTGAGTCAGCAGCTCAGAATGGAAGGGTCAGTGGCTTTATATTGGAGCTTCCAAGGAGGGGAACTGGCACGCGGCGCGGCCGTCCTACTTAGCCAGCCTCCTTCCTGACGCTCTCTAAACTGTGCCACAGGATTCTGAACACCCGCATGACCTGGAATGCCCAATGGCGTCAATCGTCTTCTCAGGGACTAGCAAGGGCAGGAAAAGAAGTGCCAGTGCCACACTCGGCCACGAGGACAAATGCCACTACCTGAGCGACAACACTTCACCCCAGACACCTGGGGTGTTTAATCTAAGAGGGCAAAGACAACCTCAATGTTACAGGACAGACAGAAAAGACCAGATGGCATCAGAGTCCCCAGTTCAAGATCCCAGCTGTTACCTGGTACCCATGGGGTCAAAGTCAAATCTGAGTGGGTTTCCTGGTACAAAGAGCAGAGGTAACAACGCTCCCTTCATGGGGCTGCCGAAAGGACCGAACGAGGCTAACAGACAAAGCATGTGCGGCCCAGCATGTGGCATGCAGCAGGCACTCAATAACCTCCGAGGCAAATGGAGCACGTCCCTCAGATGGCACCTGCAAGTCCAAGGAGATGCAGGCGTCTGCCAGGAGAGCTGCTGCTCTCGCGGGCGCTGGCTGAGGCCATGTGCTTTCAGGAAGTTTCTAATAAAACAGGAAGTAGCATATTCTCCCAGATAATCTCACTTTAGCCCTTTCATTTCCAGTCTATGGTTCTTAATGACGCTCTTTACTAAATTATTGCTCTTTAGAGAGACTTTTTATAGCTTTTTGCCTCTGCAGAAAGTTAAAGCTGGATACACCCTGGCTGGTAAGAATAAGCAGAGTGACAACGCTGATGACGCGGTGCAGAGACAGGCGGCTGTACAGGGGAGCGCTGCCCAGGAGCTGGGACACTGGGCCCTCCCGGCTGCTTGGGCATCGCTCGCACATCGCTCCGTCCTCCGGTCTTGCCGTGGTCACAAACGAGGCAGAGCCCAGGTCTCTTGGCTCCTTCCTGCTTTAAGGTGATCTGATCGTACAAATCAACATCACCACAGATTATGCATACAAGCTCCGTCACCTGCGCTGGTGACAGACACTGTGCAGGGCAACCCCTGGGCAGGTGGAAGGGCTGGGCCAGTCTTCCCAACTCTCTAGCCCTGAGGAGACAGAGGATGAGACGCAAGTGACTGTTCCAACCTTATCCTCACCCATCCCGCAAGCTAAGCCACTGCCAGGAGATGACTTCTTCAAAGAGGCCCGCCTGGGGCTGAGGGGCAGGGAAGGCAGTAGGTGCTCAGGCAAAGACATGACAGGGAGCAACGCCAGAGCTCAAGTGCCCCAGAACACACATGTCCCTCCAGAAAGACAAGCGAGATGGAAGCAAAAAAACAAACGTACTTATTTTGTAGAATGGCCAGTGGTCAAGGGACAGACACACCCCCGCCTGCCCCCCAATCCTGTCTCTGAACTCCAGCAGGTGTCCGGGAAATACCTCCCACCCACTGCTGGGCATTCGCAGCCTGCCTGGAGCCGCGAGGCCCTGGGCAGTGTGCCACGCTGGGGCAGGCGACGAGACAAAACACCTCCCAGAGTTTTTCCAATCAGGTTTATTATTCGGAGCAAAAGCTGCCCACATAATCCAGTAGTCTTCAAATTTTATTTTTGCACGTTATACAGTCTGGATGACTAGCTTACAATCCCAGGCAGTTTTATAAGTTTTGCTCTTCAAAATGTTACTGTTTTGAGGGGGAAAGTCCTGACAGAGAAATTACATTGATGAAAACAAAATCCGGAGTGATTTGCTGGCAGCAGATTACAGAGCAGTTCTCAGCAGGCAGTTCCCCCACCTCTCCAAGCGAAGGGGACCAAGAGCTAAAAATATCCTAGGAAAATCAGCCACACCTGCCACACACGCTCACACAAAGGCCGCGCCTGCAAACTATTCACGTCACCCATGCTGCTCAAATGGGACAGAATTAAATGCAGGGCTTTGCTGCTCAATCTTCTCACTTCTTCTTCTTCTTTGTGGAATATAATTTTTCTTCAAGTGGGACCGGGACGATCCCTTCACACTCTTTTACTTCCTGGGTCAGAGGGTGTTTTATAATATTCGGTCTAATCACATCAATGTCTCGAGACAAGTGCTCCATCATGCTTTCAACAGCTGTTGTTGGTGCATAAAAATCCACCAAGAAATACCTGCAATAAAATAAAAATTTGTGAATGCCTGCATTCTGAAACATAATAATTCTACTATTTCGGTCGATATTTCCATTTATTCTTCCCAGACAGACATCAACTACACACAAACACACGCACACCCTTGTCCAAACAAACTACCAGCGGATCGGCTCAACAGAAGTGCAGTAGTATGCCCATCTCCCTTTTCCTATGGCCTTTGCCATTTTTCTCGTGAAAATATAAATCCAAACAAACGTATGGCAGCAGAAAAGCATCGTGACACTACATACGATGGGAATATTAGAAAGTGTGGAGAAATTATGGGTGCAAGAACAGAATTTTCTAACCCACTGATGAGACTGAATTTTCCAAACCATCAGGTGATTTTTTTGTGAAAACATCTATTAAGTAGTCTTCTAATTTTCTGAAGGATTTTACACATGACTTAATGTACCTAAGAGATACAACAAGCACCATGAGCCCCTCTTCACAAACAAGGGAAGAGATTAAGTAAGAAAAGCACAGGACTCATCTAAGACTACCCTGTATATTCAAGACTAATGAGGAACAATAAAAAAAAAAAAAAAATTTACCCGATCCCTGGGTAAGACAAAGAATTTAACGCTCACCTACGCAGAGCAGGCTCACGCCCACTCCGCTCACTGGACCACTCCAGCAGCGGTCGGCTGATGACGACACAAAGAAAGAAGCATCTTCTTCCCTGCCCACCCCTCCTCTCAGATCGAAAAGCTCAAGCCTCCCTAGTACTATCTGATTTGGGACCACCATGTGGTTGAAGGACAGTTTTCAGCGCAGTATTTCAAAACTCTGCCCCATTCTAGCTGGTGAAGCCACTTTGACGCCACTTGCTTTGTTCTAGCCACACCGTTCTCGGACGCCCAGGCACACCCCCACACTGGGCCTCTGCACTCGCTGTTCCTTCAGCCGGAAACGTTCTTCGCCCACGTTCTGCACAGCGCAGCCCTCACTTCTACCACCTCTCTGTCCAAGTGTCGCCTTCTCAGAGAGGCCTTCTGTGACCACTTCTCAAGCAGCTCCCCGCTTGCCCCACCTGCAGAGCCCCATTACTCTCCAGCTCCCTCACTCAACCCTTGATTTTGTTCCCTGCAGCACTTTGCCACCAGGGGCACCGTCCACATTTGTTCACTGTGTCACTGCACTAAAACATAACGGCTGCAGGAAGACGGGCTCTGCTGCCATCCCCTGCACCCTGAACAGAGACTAACACAGAAAAGGTCCAGGGTAAATCTTGGACAGTGGTGGTGTTAGCGTGAAATGTGGAATTTTCATAGAATGCAGGAGAACCAAATTGAAAAGGAACAAATTCAGCAAGAAAGAAACTTAGTAGAAAATGGATGGCATCTTGTGTAAATCCATACAAAGAGCAAAGCAGGTTCAAAACTTCTAAGAAAATTTCCTGAGGACCATTCACTCTTAGCCAAGCCTAGTGGAAAAATCATTTGAGTAAACAAATAATTAAAACAAAAGGACAGAAAAATATTTAATATATATCAAGCAAAAACACTGATCAAAAGAAAGCTCAAGTGGCTATAGCAATCTCAGACAAAGTAGACTTCAGAGCAAAGAAAATTACCAGGGATAAAGAGAGACAATACATAATAGTGGGTTCACCAAGCAGACACAACAATCTTAAATGTGCACGCACCAGATAACAAAGCTTCGGCAACAGGAAGTAAGAAGAAAACTGAACAGAGAAATAGATAAATCCACAATTACAGCTGGAGCCTTTTAACATTCCTCTCTCAGAGAGGAACGACAAACGGACAGAACGACTGACTACACAGAAAATCAGCAAGGATATAGAAAAAGTGAGCACCGACATCAACCAACCGGAACTGACATTTATAGAACCCTTTACCCAACAATAGCAAGGTACACATTCTCCTTATGTGCACACAGAACATTTCACCGAGGTCAACAGTATTCTGGGCCATAAAACAAGTCTCAATAAATCTAAAGGGATTCAAGTCATGCCGGAAGATCTTGGGAAAATCCCCAAATACTTGGAAACTATATACATACCTAAATAACCAATGGACCAGTTGGTTGAAGAAGAAATCAAAAGGGAAATTGAAAAGTACTTTGAACTGAATGAAAATCAAAGCATAATATATCAAAATTTGGGGATGCCACTGAAGCAGTACTTGGCAGGAAATTTATAGGCACTAAACACCTAGGAGAGAAACTGGAAAAAAGAGCGAACTAAATCCAGTAAGAGGGAGGGAGGGAGGAGAAATTCCTAAACCAGAAAAAAGAAAAACAACAGAGAATATCGATGAAACCAAATATTAAATACTAGTTCACTGAGAAGATGAATAGAATTAATACACCTCTTGCCAGACTGATCAGTAAAAAAGAGGTAAGACACAAATTACCAGCAACAGGAATGAGAAAGGTAAAAGACTACAGATTTTACAAATATTAAGAGGACAGTAGGGAATATTATGAACAATTTTTGCAACAAATTTGATAGCTCAGACAAAATGGTCAAATTCCTTGAATAATACAAACTACCAAAGCTTATTCAAGAAGATACCTCAACAGCCCTGTTCAAGAAGATACCTGAAGATAACCTGAACAGCCCTGTATCTGTTAAAGAAGTTAAATAATGTAGTTAAAAACCTTTCCACAAAGAAAACTATAGGCCCAGATGGCTTCACTGATAAATTATACCAAACATTTTAGGAATAAAAAACCAATTCTGACACAAACTCATCCAGGAAATAGGAAGACATGTCTCAATTTGTTCTATGAAGCCTGCATTACTCTATGTCAAAACCAAAGACATTACAAGAAAAGAAAAAAATCAGACTGACATCCCTCACGAACATAAATGAAAAGGTCCCAAACAAACTTTTAGCCAATTGACTACCACCATAAAAAGGACAATTCATCATGACCAAGTACGGTTTACCCTAAGAACACAAGATTGGTTTAACACCATTTAACAAACTAAAAAAGAAAAACCGGCCGGGCGCGGTGGCTCACGCCTGTAATCCTAGCTCTCTGGGAGGCCGAGGCGGGCGGATTGTTTGAGCTCAGGAGTTCGAAACCAGCCTGAGCAAGAGCGAGACCCCGTCTCTACTAAAAATAGAAAGAAATTAGTCGGACAACTAAAAACATATAGAAAAAATTAGCCGGGCATGGTGGCGCATGCCTGTAGTCCCAGCTACTCGGGAGGCTGAGGCAGAAGGATCGCTTAAGCCCAGGAGTCTGAGGTTGCTGTGAGCTGTGCTGACGCCACCGCACTCTAGCCGGGGCAACACAGTGAGACTCTGTCTCAAAAAAAAAAAAAAAAAAAAGAAAAACCATACTGATTGCTTCGACAAAGGCAAATAAAAGCATTTAACAAAATCCCATAGCCATTCCTGATAAAAACTCTCAGCAAACTAGAAATAGAAGGAACCTTCCTCAAACTTACAAAGGGCATCTTTGAGAAACCTATAACATTTCCCCAACTGGTGAAGGTCTGAATGCTTCCCCCCAAGACTGGGAACAAACAAGGAACCACTGTCACTTCTGTTCAGCACTGCACTGGAGGCTCCGGCCAGCAGAATAAGGCAGGAAAAAGAAAAGGAATCAGACTGATAAGGAAGAAGCAAAACTGTCTTTATTTGCAGACGATATACTTATGTATAGAGAAAACATGAAGAAATCTATAAAGAACTAGAACTAAAAGTGAGTTTAGCAAGGTTGTAAGATACAAAATCAATTTTATTTCTGAATACTAGCAACAAATAATTGGACCTTGAAATTAAATATAAAATACTTAGGGCTAAATCTGACAATAGGTATGTAAGACCTGGACATTAAAAACTGCAAAACACTGCTGAAAGAAATTAAAGAAAACCTACATAAATGGAGAGACATATCGTGTTCATGGGTAGGAAGACTCACAATTTAGATGTCAGCTTTCTCCAAATTGGTCTATGGATTCAGCAGAACCTCAATCAAAATCTTGGCAAATTGATTCTAAAGTTCATACGGAAATACAACGAACTCAGAACAGCCAAAACAACTCTGACAAAGAATGTAAGCTACAGGACTAACACCACCAGATTTCAAGACTTATTACAAAGCCGTAGTAATCTAGACGGTATGGTATTCATTCATGTAAAGATACACAAACAGATCAAAAGAAAAGAAAGTCCAGAAATAGAGGCCACACATATGTGCAGAACTCATTTTTGACAAAGGTACAAAGGCAGTTCAGCAGAGAAATGATAGTTCCTTCAACAAATGGTGGTAGAATTATCTAGTGTCCAGGCAATAAAGTGAACTTTGCTCCATACTTTTACCATATAAAAAATTAACTCAAAATGAAACAAATTTAAATGTAAAACATAAAGCTATAAAACTTCTAGAAGAAAACACAGGAGAAAGCTTTTGTGGCCTTAGGTTAAGCAAAGATTCTATAGAAACAACACCAACAGCAAAATTCGTAATAGAAACTTTTGATAAATAAGCCTTCATCACAATTAAAAACTGCTTGCTCTTTGAATAAA